CTACCTGCAGCCTCTATATAGTTCCCATTTGTATAAATGTGGCCATTAGTTCTTTATGACGGAATGGATTTTATTTATAGGACCTATAAAGAGGCAAACCAAAACTACTTGAGAATAATAGAAGTATACTATACTTAACATGACCCCAAGTAAAAAAAATGTGCGAAGAGAACTTGGGGACCAATTGGGTTAGTGTTAGATTTAGCATTTTCAAGTGTCAGCAACATCTAAAAGGAAGAACACCACAAGTTTATAACATCCAGAAGCCTGAGGGGGGAAGCTGAAAGGATGTAGGAAGTGGAGGCAACTATAAGGCTAGTGTTAACTGAAGGGCAATGGCAGCTGAACTGGGGGAGTGAATAGATGACAAGCATGTACTAATAGAACAGCAAATTATTTTCATAACCAAAGTTTTGACTTTACATGGGGGGATTTATTTTCTATAAAGATTATTTTTGGTTCCATTGAAATATAGGAGTTGAATTAGATTGTTTCTGTGAAAACAATTTAGATATTAGTGATTCATCAATTAATTTTAGGCTAGACTTCCTAGACTGGACTAGATTTGTTTCATGTGCAATTATTTATGAAACAGGTGAAGAAATAGTTGAACACATGGCATATAACGAGCAGGATATGAAGGGAAAAAGCTGGTAGTCACAATAAGATAACAGAACAAAGAAAAAATAAAAGAAAGTCGTGAGTGTCAAAACACCAAGAATCCCAGAAAATAGGTGATGGTGCAGGTGATATAGGCTGTGACAGTATATAAATCCAATATTGACAGTGTGTCAATATAGCAGTGTTTTTAAATATATTAGGTGAGACAATTAAAGTTAGTCATTTCACAGAGCATAAGAATGTTATGAAGCAATCCACTACTTTCACTGCTACACTACAATATATTTATATAGTATTTATTCATATAGGAGGAGGAGGAGAATAAACAAGCTTCTAGCCACCATTTATAAGGTCAGCCACTTCATGCATGTCTCCATCACAGCACAGAGGAGCTTGTTTAGCAGCAAGTTGCGATCACTGTTCTGCACAAGCGATATTGGCATGAAATCCTTCCTACCTAAGGCCATTTCACTGTAAGCCAGCACATTGGAAAGTGGCAGGGGGAAAGGGGTACTACAGCACAGTGCTACAGACTGTAATTTGTACGGAGTGTAGAACTAATGTCACATTATGTTTAAAGTTAAGTCAATTTACAATATGTCACATCACTTTATTCGTACAATTCTTTACACTATTTTTGCTTTCTTGAGTTTTGCTTCTTTAATGTAAAAGCTGTTCGATCTATCTATCTATCTATCTATCTATCTATCTATCTATCTATCTATC